CCAGCTGCTTGGGAGGCTGAGGCAGGAGACTCGCTTGAGCCCAGGAGTTGGAGGTTGCTGTGAGCATGATGCCATGGCACTCTACCCATGGGGATAGCTTGAGGCTCCCTCTCAAAAAAAGAAAAAAATGGGCATTGGCCTACATCTCTACATTTTCCACATTGTGCACATGCACAGATTACTTGGATAATGGAAAAAATAATTTTAAAGAGAAGTCAAGACTCACTCAATGATGTTTCTTGTGGTTTCACCATGGGGCTTGCAGGAAATAAAAACTAGTGTGTGGATAGCCCTGCAGTTTCGAATGGCTTGAACCACCTTATAATCTGAAGGAAGAAATACCTTGCTGTTAACATAATTAAACTACCACGTACCCAGTTATCATAAACTCCCAACTGACCAGCACATAGGATTGATTAGGAATAGAGAAGAAACAAGTTCAGGGCCAGCCCATTGGGAGTACCATTAGCACAGAGTGGGAATGAGGAATCAAAGCTGGCGGACATCATGGGAAACACCCAACTAGCTTTTCATCCTTACGCAGTCCAGCACGGGCAGGGTTCACCACAGCAATTAACTGCTCATCTTCCTTTGACATTAACAGCTGTGGCAAAATCCTCTCTGCTCGACCAGTGTGAAATTCACAGTTGGTGATGCCTGTGGAAGAGAGGCTCACATGACATAACTCAAGCCCAGCAATAGGGGGAAGCTTCATCTTAGAGAAATGTACAGTAGCCAGGGCTCTGCTATGTTCCCTTTGGATTTGGCCAACCTCCAAAGAACAATGAAAGAAATGCTTTTGGATGTACTTCATTGTTTCCAAAGCACTTTCCCTTAAAATATCTCAGTAAGGTTTTTAGCTTGAGTGACAAGATAGTGTTATTTTACAAATTAACAACTCATATGGTACATAAACACCTCTACCAAGACAAGAACCTTAACTTTTACTCAAGTGCTCTTCCTGCTATATCAGACATTTTCACACACTGCCTCAGGAGGTATCTGAAAGTGAGTAGAGGGGACAAGATGATCTGTTTTCTACACTGCAGTTTGGCACAACATTTTATTTGAAGAAAAGGTTTTGTTACTAAAAATGTAGGTTTAAAACCTATTGTATGATGCTATATAATGCCTCATGAGTTTAATGTCAAGAAGGCTTTCCAGTCCCAAGTTTTGCCACATCCCTTCTTATTGCCTAGCTTTGTTCCTTCCCTCAGGCTCCTCTTCTGGATAGGAAATAAAAAATATTAGATACTGGGACCTTTCCCCAGAAAACCATCAGGACCCAAATTTGACCACTCTAGAGCCCCCTCCTTTCCTCCCAGAAGGTCAGAGATACAATTGCTGCCTCTTCCCACATGATCCTTTCCATAGCAGAGAAACAAATGCATCCCTTAATTTCTCCCCAGACTATGAGCTGTGTACCATTGAAGTCTGCAGTCCACCTGGCATCCTCTACTGCCTGCTCCACCAATTCAATCCCGAGGACATGGGATGTATGCTGAGCTAGAGAGAGGCCAATTACACCTGGGGAGATAAGAGAGAATACAAGGAAGGTATTTTAGGGTTTTAAACAAACAAAGTTATTCCTGGGTCACTATCACTACCTCCCCCTACCTACCCTTATAAGCTGTAAGGACCCTGGGAGCTAAGCAGCATGCAAATTTGGCCCTAGGCTACTACTTGCCAGTTCCACAGCAGATGTCAAGAAGGATGGTGTCAGAGTTCACTCCACTCAGCTCCCTCACAGTCCTATACAGCATCTCTGCACCAGCAGTGTTAATCTGGAAAAAGGCTTCTGGAGAAATGCGGATCTTCAAGCCTAGGATATCTTCAAAGATGTGGGGTTCCCCAAATAGGAGCTGGTAGGGAGACTGCTGATGGCTGCAACGGGTCATGGTACTGGAAAAAAATAAGACTTCAGGCATGGTGGCTTATGCCTATAATCCTAGCACTTTGGAAGGCCGAGATAGGAGTACAACCTGAATTCAAGAATTCAAGACCAGCCTGTGCAAGAGTAAGAGAGACCCCATATCTACTAAAAATAGAAAAACAAGGCTTGGTGCCCGTAGCTCGGTGGTTAGGGTGCCAGTCACATACACCAGGGCTGGCCAGTTCATAGCCAGCCCAGGCCTGCTAAACAACAATGACAACTACAATAAAAAAATAGCTGGGTATTGTGGAGGGTGCCTGTAGTCCCAGCTACTTGGGAGGCTGAGGCAAGAGAATCACTTAAGCCTAAGAGTTTGAGGTTGCTATGAGCTGTGACGCCACAGCACTCTACCGAGGGCAACAAAGTGAGACTCTGTCTCAAAAAATAAAAATAGAAAAATTAGCTGGGTACTGTGGCAGGTGCCTATAGTCTCAACTACTCAGGAGGCTGAGCCTAGAGATCATTTGAGCCCAAGAGTTTCAGGTTGCTGTGAGCTTGGCTGATGCCACAGCACTGTCGTCTGGGGCAACACAATGAGACTGTCTCAAAAAAAAAAAAAGTAAAAGAAGAAAGCATCTTGCAATGGTGTGCCATTCCATAGCGAGTGGTTGCTTGGAGGGGGAGGCTCTAGCATCTCAGCTAGGAGATACAGCCTCCTTGCCAAGGCCCTGAGAGCTCTGTAGGAATTTTCCCTCAGGGAATGAAATTCCATGTAGACAATATCATCTACATTCTGGCCTGGGTTCCCAGAGCTGGCTGGTGTACAAGGGCCAGAAGCACTTAGCCCAGATCTTCCACTATCAATCAGTACCTCTGCATGAACAATCCATAAACGGAGATTCTACAAGCCATCAGCCTCCTATTTGCTGTTCGGCTATTGTAGGTTTACCTTTCCTGGAAGTATAGTGAGGTCAAGTCACAGGCTGCTCCAGGGCCTTTGATGAAAAATTCCTTTACAGACTCCTTCTGAACATGGAGCTCCTCCTGCCCAGACCACAAAAACAGTAGTCAAGCAAAGACTCGTATCTGAGAAATGTTCTCTCCAGACTTTACAGTAATAAGTCCGGCAACAGTCAAACAAGAAGACACATTTCTCAAATCCTATTATAAATAACACTTAAGGCTCGGCGCCTATAGCTCAACCGGCTAAGGCGCCAGCCACGTACACCTAAGGTGGCGGGTTCGAATCCCCAGCCCGGACC